CAGAGAAACAAACACAAGGAAGCAGCTAAAATGAGGAGACAAAGATGTCCAAAATGAAAGAGCAGAACAAAGCTCCAGAAAAAGAAATGAACAAAATGGACATGAGCAATCTACCAGATTCAGAGTTCAAAACACTGGTTATAAGTATGCTCACTGAACTTAGAGGAAGAGTAGATAAACTCATGAGAACTTTAACAAAGAGATAGAAAATATTAAAATAGAGACAGAAAATATCAAAAGAGAACCAGTCGGAAATGAAAAATACAGTAACTAATATGATGAATACCTCAGGAGAAATCAATAGTAGATAGATGATGCAGAGGAGCAAAGCAGCAATTTAGAAGGTAAGGTAGCAGAAAATGACCTATCATAACAGTAACAAGAAAAGAATCAAAAATGTGAGCATATTTTAGGACACCTCTCAGACAATATCAAGCATACCAACATTCTCATCATAGGAGTACCAGAAGAAGTAGAGAGAGAGTAAGAATTTGAAAACCTATTTGAAGAAATAGTAATAGAAAACTTTCCTGATCTGGCAAAGGAAATAGACATACAAGACCAGGAAGCTTACAGTTCCAAACAAGATGAACTCAAACAGGCTCACGTCAGGACTCATCATAATTAAAATGCCAAAGATTAGGAACAAGTGAGAATCTTAAAAGCAGTAAGAGCAAAGCAGTTAGTTTCATACAAAGGAACTCCCTTAAGATTGTCAGCTGATTTCTCAACAGAAACTTTGAATGCCAGAAGGGATTGGCTGAAAATATGCAAAGTGATGAAAAGGAAGAACCTACAATCAAGATTATTCTACCCAGCAAAGCTATCATTTAGAATTGAAGGACAGATCAAGAGCTTCCCAGACAAGAAAAATGTAAAGGAATTCATAAACATCAAACCAGTATTGCAAAAAATATTTGAGGGACTTCTTTAAGAAGAAAAAAAAAAAAGATACAAAATATAACTAATAAAATGGCTATAACTACGTATCTAGCAACAATTACTTGAAATGTAAATGGATTAAATGCTCTAATCAAAAGATATGATGAAAAATGGATAAGAAAACAAGACTCTTACACATGTTGCCTACAAGAGACTCACTTCAGATAAAAAGTCATATGCAGACTGAAAATAAAGGCATGGAAAAAGATGTTTCATAAAAATGGAAACAAACAAACAGTAAAAAACTGGAGTAGCAATATTAATATCAGATAAAACAAAGGCTATAACAGGAGACAAAGAAGTACCCAGTAATTCTACTTCTGGGTTTTTATTTGAATAAACTCAAAACAGTACTTCCAAGGGACTTGTGTTTTCATATGTTCTTCACAGCATTATTTACAATAGCCAAAATATAGAGGTAACCTGGGTGTCCATTAATGAATGAATGGATAAAGAAAAGATTGTACATACAATAGACTACTACTCAGCCATACAAAAGAATAAAATCTTACCATCTGCAACAACATAAATGGACCTCTCGGGTATTATGCTGAGTAGAGTAAGTCAGACAGAGAAAGACAAATGCCATATGAGTTCACTTACATATGGAATCTAAAGAACAAAATAAATGAACAAACAACAGAAATAAATTTTAGATACAGAGAACGTTTTGATGGTTGCCAAATGGATGGAGGGTTGGGAAAGGTTGGCAAAAAGAGTGAAGAAATTAAGAAATACAAATTCGTAGTTACATAATAGTCATGGGAATGTAAAATATAACATGAGGAATACAGACAATAATAGTGTAATAACTACGTATGGTGTCAGATGAGTACTAGGAGTGATCACTTTGTGAGTTATATAAATGTCTAATTACTACATTATACACCTGAAACTAATGTAATATATTATGCCAACTGTATTTTAAAAATAAAAAGTTAAAAAAGAAATCTATCTACACCAATTAACATACTGTGGGGATCTTTCACCATAGAGGAAATACAATTCAAGAAGGCTTTCATCTGCCACTGGAAAAGAATATGACATGACAAGGGTCACACAAATAGAATTTGTATCAGTTGACATTCTCAAGGTATTCCTTTGTAGACAAATATGTAGAAGATGAGTATCAAGCACAAAATCTAAAGCCAAAATGTCTGAAGAGAGTAATGTTCCATATTTAATATTCTAACAACAGTATGTTCTGATATGTTCTGGTCATTTTTAAAAGGAATGTGAAACTCACTGACCCAACTCAATGATATATTGGCAGAATTTTAGATCAGATAATTGGAAATGCTAAACTTTCAGGCCAACTCACTACTTTCTCCATATAATTACACAAGGATGCCTGAAGCTTTGCTTTCCAAATATTTCCTAGAGAATCCAGCTTCTCCTCCAATCTCAGCTGGGTAAGGATGAGTTTTATGCATGGTTAATAGAATAGGCATATCTATTAGAAATCATATAATCATACTGCTAATGACAAAGTGATAATGATGATATGGTTTAGCATTTATTGAGTGCTTACTGTGAGCTGACTGGCCAGAAAATGAAACATACAGTTCCCAAGGACATACTTAGCACTGAATTTTCTTAGAGAAATATAGAATAAACACAACATGCCTGCAGAGCATCAAGAATTTCTGAAAGGTGTGCTGAAAGCAGACAAGGGGTATTCTTTAGGATTTAAAGTTATAGCCCAGCTGTGAGGGCATGATGTTCATGCAAAGGGGTGCATGATCTACCTTGACTTACAATTTCTTATAAAAGTTTCATGGGTATCCATAGTTTCCAGAGTTTCCTGCAAAAGACATGCCAAGTCAGGAAAAGCCCAAGGCAATGACTTACAGCCAGATATTTATAATACTTTATTATTCTCCCAGTCCAGAGGAATTTTACCAACAAGGGGTCATTCGTACCACAGCTATGTTGCTTAGTAACATTTATTAGGGTTTCTCAACATGCCAGAACTAGTAAGTTAACCCAAGGTGAAAGCTTTCAAAGTGTATGTATATCAAATTATCACATTGTACACTTTAGATATCTGACAATTTTACTTGTCAACTAGACATTAAAGAAGCTGGGAAAAAGGATTAATCTAAGATAAAATTTATCTACAAAGAGGAACGATTTTGTTAAACCTTTACTCGCATAAACATTATTTATTTAATATTCACAACAAGTCTATGAGGTAGATAATATTATAATTTATTAGTGGCGAAATCAGGATGAAAATGGACTTTCTTGGTTCTAGGTACAAAATTATTAACCACAAAACTTCATGTCTTCCATAACTCTATGAAAGAAAAACAGAATGTAATAAACAGAGAGTAAACTGAGCCAATCTCAGATGAATGTTTCTTTAAAAGACTAAAAGGACAAAAAAGCAATTTAAACTTCTTTAAGTGTAAGATTTATTTTTTGTTGTTTTGTAATTTTATTTTAGGTGCTAGAAAATCTAAAGTGGTTATTGATTGAGTAGTTTTCCTTAACAGAAAAATTATCTTTTTTTTCAAAGACTAGTTTAAAAAAGGTAAACATATACCGATTGATAATTTGTGTTTATGAGTATTTGTTCTACAGCATATTTTTAATTCTTTCACACATTCCACATCTAAAGAAACATTGAATTATTTCTAATACACTAACATTTGGGTGAATTAGCCTGGAGTCATGGTGTGAAAATCTCTCTAAGCAATTTAAGCAAATTTCCAAAAATCAAAAATACTTTGGAAGAATGCTTTTGGAAGAATAATTCAGGCTTTCAACTTGAGTCATTTAACTCACTGCAGAGATATCTGCATTCCACCTCTCATTCCTTCAGCTTGTGTCTTAGGAAGACATTTTCTGTTCTTATAGTCATTTGTCTCGGGACAAATTTTTAAATATTTGACAACTGGTATGACCTAGGCACCAACTGGTTGAAATAGATGCTGGCCATATGCTGGTTCTGAATCCAACCTATATAAAAGGTTTTTTTTTTTTTTAAATTATTTTACCTCTTACCTGATTGGCACTCATTAGATCAACCAGCTTTGTCTTTCATTGAGAGTCCAAGAGAAAGCTGCAGATGAATATTTAGCCATATTCATTGGTGCAAACATGGCTGAATATCAGCACTATGTTATTTTTCCTTTTTTGATTTGCAGTGGGTATGAGAATTGTAGAAGTAAAGAATATTATTAGGTGACATGAGTTTTAGTTTTGGGGGTATAATTGTAATTTTGTGGTTTCACATGGTAATCTTTGAGAATTTGGAGCTTTGGAAGTGCTACAATAAAGCCTACATCATTTTGTCTTGACATAACCATCAGAAAGTCCATTCTCTTATATTTTCTGCACTTATAAAATAGTATGTTTAGTCTAGAGAATTTCATACTTCTATTAAATAGGATTTCTTAGGAAGTTAAAAATTATGCATGACAGGGTTACACCCTAGACATATTCTATCAGACTCTCCATAGCTTTTTCTGGGATTATGCTTTTAACAAACCTCCAGGTGATTCCTATGTAGGCAGCTCAACTTTAGTTTCAACATCCTTATAGAAGATAAATAATTCATTAACATTTGTTTACATCAGAAGTTTTCCAGAAAGTGTACTAATTGCTATTTATATCCTCTTTAAGTTTATTTTATGATTCCTGAAAGTGGCACTATAAAGACCCTGTTTCTTCTTTACTGCCAGATTCTGTTGTGCTTCAATCTGGGACAGCCCTAAGATATCAGCATCTGCCTAGCTGTGCATTCCTGAGGGCATCATCCACCTCCTTGTTTCTCAGGCAGTAAATGACTGGATTGAGGAATGGTACAATGACAGTATAGAGCACAGAGATAATCTTGTTGTGGTTGAAAGTATACATGGCTCAGGGCCATAGGTGAAGAGAGTGGAGTAGTAGTAGATGACAGGCACTACCGGATAAGAAGCACAAGTGGAGAAGGCTTTGTGGTGTCCCTGGATAGTAGGAATCCTCAGGATGGCTACAATTATGGCAGCATATGATAAAATCACAGCCAATAGAGGAAGGAGAATGATGTCCAGGGCCAAGAGAAAGTCTGAGATTAAGTAGTGGGGAGATATCACAGAAAAAGTGGCTGATGATGTCGGGTCCACAGTAGGACAGTTGGGAAATAAAAAGAAGCATCATCATGGAGCTGAAGAAGCCACCACCCCAAGATGAAGCTGCAAGATGAGTGGCAAGGCTGGAAGGCATAAGACTGGGATAACGGAGGGGTTCACAGATGGCCAGGTAGCGGTCATAGGCCATGATTGCCAACAGGACACACTCAGTGCAGGCTAAGGCAAAGAAGAAGTAAAGTTGAGTCATACAACCTATAAAGGAAACTCTACAGTCCTGGTTAAGAAATGCTCCCAAGAGTCGGAGAACAGTGACATTGATGTAACATAGCTCCAGGAAGGAGAGATGGCCAAGGGAAACGTACATTGTGTAAGCCAGATCATGGAAACAATGAGTGCATTTTCCAACAATGTCAACAGATAAATTGCAAGAAAGAGGGCAAAGAGGAGCAGCTGAAGTGGTGGAGAGGTAGGGAAACCCACTAAAACAAACTCTTCTCTGTGGCCTCCACTCAAATTTCTCGTGATCTCTGTCCACTTGACTACCTGAAAAAGTAACAGGAAGAACAAGATGTTGAAAGATAGATGGACCAGACTGCCAGCAACCCTTCATATTACAACCTTCTGAAGAATTCTAATGATATATTATCAATTATTATTAAATCTTTTTGCTCCTCTGCTGTTTTATCTCCCACCTCAGGGGAAAAGTTATCAGACTTAAAGATTGTATTCAATAACTTAACAACCTTAACTACAGTGGGTTTTTGATAAATGATTACTGAGTGACTTCAGAACAAGTTCAACATTTTAATTCTTGTTTTCTTATCCATGAAATGCTCTTCTTTCACTTTCCACAAACCCCTAAGCCCCATGGCACCTTCAGTTAATATTTGTTGAATGAACAAATAAAGGAAGGAGTGACAGCAAGGTGACAGCAAGCCTAAGGATTAATCTCTCAAGGGAAATTAGACTAAGAGGAGGTAGTAACTCAAAGATATTACTTGAATTATAATGTAAAGCAACATAAGATTAGGAAGGTTGGTTTGGGATGTGTTCATTCACAGTTGGAGGAATAATTCAGTATAGAGGTGATAAAAGAAGTTCTCCAGAAAGAGACCATTTTCTATGTATTTTATTTGTATTTTTGAGTATATTCTCTGTACCAGAATTAGGTTGTATCATTCCTAGGCTGGTGTGGTAGGTTGAAAAATGAACCCCAATAAATAAGGTGTCTACGTCCTAATCTCTGAAACATAAATGTTACATTGTATAGCAAAGATTTTGCAGGTATGATTAAGTTAAGGATACTGAAATGAGAGATTACCCTGCATTATCCAGGTGAACTTTAAATGCAGTTACAATGGTCCTTATAAGAAAGAGGCAGAGGGAAATTTAAAATAGACATAGAGAGAAGACAACCTAAAGGTGTAGCAAAGAGATTTTAATATTGGCCCTAAAGATTGGGGTGATGTGGCCAAGGAATTCCAGTGGTCACCAAAAGCTAAAAGAGGCAAGAAATGGATTCTCCTCTAGAGTGTGTGAAGGGAGCATGGCCTTGCCAGCACCTTGAGTTTGGCCAAATGATATTGATTTCAGACTTCTGGCCTTCAGAACTTTAAGAGAATAAATCCCTGTTTTAAGCTACTAAATTTGTTGTAGTTATAACAATCACAGAATAATGACACAGTTAGTGAGGCATCAAAGTGAAAAAGGCAGTCATATTCCTCTCAACCATCCTTCTGTGTCTTCCTAGTCTCCTATCAATATTTATAGTGGTCTGACATCTCCAGAGGGCATTTGGAAAAATTATAAATCTAATTGAGATTAAATTATGTGTTAGATATTATCGAACATTTTCATTTTTGGTGGAACTAAGCATTTGTCTTCACATTTTATTTTCCTTAAGCAACTTAAAAAAACAATATACCAGATTGCATAATTTTAACTCGACATGTATTTTTATCATACACTTAAATAATTACAGAGAATCTAATTTCACTGTACTGTGAGTATTGACAGTTGAATAAAACTATTATATCAATCCTTTAGGTGTTAAGTGAAATCTAAATATTGATGCTATGATACCATTAATTGTTTAAAAAAATTACATGAGTGCATGTATCTTTAAAAGTGGAAATTTTCCATTATTCTTCTTACTGAACTCATAATTCATGGTATTATAATATATTTTTATAACTTCAAGACTTTCATTGATTTCTCTGTCTCTATCTGCCTACCTATTTATAAATCTGGTTCTTATACTATTGAAGCTGTTTTTAAAACTATTTTCTTCCAGATATTACTATATAATTAGCATACATTTTACCAAAGCAAGACAAATTTTAAAAATAAGCAACATTTTAGAAATGTATTAAATACAATATACATATGATGCATTACTGAATTGTACACTTCAAACTTATATAACTTATTAACCAATATCACCTCAATAACAAATAAAATAAAAAATAAATGTATTAAAATATTTTTTAATAATGCGGATTGTACATTTTTTCAATTCTTGTGTGCATACATGAAGACTACTTATTAACATAGTAATAAAGTTTTCAGCATCAATTCCATTCTTTTCATTTTGGAGATACAAACACCCAGGAAACTCATTCTCATAAATAAATTGACACTGATACACCATGGCTCAAGGAATAAAAGTTATTGTTATAGTAATACAACTAAATTATTTAAACTTTTTATTAGTTATGTGCCAGAAATTACACAGTGATCTATCATCAAAATGGTTTTCTGGATCTATTAGCTGACAATTCAATTAGATTTCAATTGTGTTTAAAAAATCATATTGAAGTGGGGAGGTCTGATTAAGATGGTGGAATAGGTAAATGCTGTGCTCCTCTCCTCCCAAGACCACATCAAAATTACAACTAAATTATAATTATAGAATAACCGTCACTGAGAATTGCCTGAAGACTAGTTTAACAGAAGTCCTATAACTCCTATAACTAAGGACATACAGAAGAAGCCTGGAGACTGGTAGGAGGGGTGGATATGTAGAATAGGCTGATTCAACACCTACATGTTGTGGTTAAAAATCAGGAGGGATATCTTAGCCGTGGAGGTCTTCTCTAAGGAACGAGGGGTCCAAGACCCAGGTTTCCAGTGCTGGGAAGAGAAGTCCCCACAATTTTGGCTGTGAAAATCAGAGGAAATTGTGGCTAAGTGAGACAAAGAGCAGCTGAAGTTTCCAGTTTTCCTCTTAAAGGTCCTGGGAATAGATTTACTCACTGATGAGTTCATTCACTCTGAGTTCCAGCACTGGGGTAGCTGCTTGAAAGCTGTTAGAAATATATGAGAAAGATCTAAATTGTCTGGTTTTAAAGAAAGGGCTGGAGGGCAGATTTTTCTCAGAAGTGCTGGAAGAAACCATTGTTCTTTTATTAACCCATCCCCACACCAGCCTACACCCGTAGGTATGTGTTATATCTGAGTCTCCATCAACATAGATAATATCGTTCACCCAGCCCTGATGATTTGCTGAGACTATGACCTACCCAACTTTTTGGTCCACTCAAACCACTTCCAGCGGTGTTTCCAAACAAATAGCCTGTCTTGAATCATGTTGTGCACTTTCCTAAAATCTCTTAAAGGTTCACAAATCCCCAGCTAATAGTGTCAAACCTAGGCATGTCTTGTACCTCTTGGTAAGCAGCCTCAAGTCAGAAGAGAATATTTCATTGGCATGAAATATTCAAAGTGATTAAAAGTAAGGGCCTAGAAACAAGATTATTCTTTCCAGCAAAGCCATCATTTAGAATTAAAGAACTGATAAAGAACTTCCCAGACAAGAGAAAGCTATAGGATTTCACCACCACCAACTTAGTATTATAAAAAATATTAAAGTAACTTATTTAAAAATAATATACATATGTATGTATATATATATATGTATGTATGTGTGTGTGTATATATACATATATATATACACACACACATACATACATATATATATACACACACACACACATACGTACATATATATATATACATA